AGGCTCGCCGCGCCGCGCAGCCCTCGCCGCCGCCCGGACCTCGTCTCCCTCTGCGGGCTGGGAACGCCCGTGCGAGTGGGAGGCTTGATCGAAATTTAAACGCGTCGGGAGTGGAGGCAGGAGTGGGGCGGAGCCGCGGCCTGGCGTCCCGGAGAGGAGCTGGGAGGCTCCGAGAGCTGGGAAAGCTGCTGCTCAGTTTTCTCACCCCTGACCAGGTGCTGGGCCCGCGCTCGGCCGGGTCCTGAGCTCGCGGGCTGCCGGGTAAGCTGTGAGCGTTTTATGCTGCTGATCATACAGCCGGGTGTGCGTTTTGCGAAACCCTTCTGATGGGCTGTGGTTGGGAAATGCAAAGATTTGCAGGCACATCTTCCAACAGCTAGAAGCTGTAACAGGTCTGGCGTTTGCACCGATCTGTTTATCAACTTTGCAGGGCTGCTGGAAAATATTCTAACTTGTGTCACCCGTCAACAATGCTTCACTAGCATTCTCCTTCCAGTGGGGGCTTGTTGGTTACCCAGGTCTTGGGCTCTTTAAGTGAGATGGCAGAAACTGTCTGAATCCGGGGAGTCGTAATTAGTCATTTTATGTAACCACTAATTAGAGTTTTTAGAGTTGAATTAAATCGATGTAATATGGTTGGGGCTTTGCTTTGTGGGAGGAAACTATTTTATTCTAAAGTTGACAGAAATAACACTTCTCTGGGCTTTTAGCAACCCTAAACTTTGGTGTCTGTTGGCATAATTAGTGCTAACATCTAGTGCGAACTTTTTCCTGTGACAGTGTGTGACTTGGCTGTGACTTAATTTGTGAGTGAAACAGGAGAATCACTTGGGGAATGGCAGATTTGTAAGGTCTGCTTGCTAAGACATTTTTATTGTCTCATGTATTTGAGCAGCAAGATTCAACCATCAAGCTTCCTTACCAAGAGCAATTCCACATAACCCTTGAGGAATAGTGTGGGGGGAGGGAGGTGCTTCTCCTGGGTATGTTTAATGGGCAGTTTCCACCTATGGGCTGTGAGGGGCTTAAGAGCTGAAAGTTTCCCAGATTCATTTTTCTGGACTCCCCACAATGTTTGAGACCCTGAGCCTGTGAATAGGAATTGAAATCGCAATATGTTGGTGAGTTTTATGTGTGTTGAGGCAATTGATGACTCCCCACTCCCCACCCTTCTCTGTAAATAAGCAAATTCTGGTAATCACTGCATTGCTCTAAATTTTCTGCAGCTAAGAGCAGGTTCTGGAATTCAAGCCCTGGCTTGAGCAGTTTATTAGGTGTGTGACTTGGTTGCCATAACTGTAGCATGAAGTTCATATTTTGTCTCTCTTATAAATAAGGCTTGATCTGAGGCTTGTGTATTGCCTGTAAAGGACTTAAAACTAAGTGCTTCCCACATAGTAAGGATTTGGTAACTATAAGCTATTAGATTGTGATCAGCATACTCTCTCTGAATGTGAACTACCTGTGGTCAGGGGCTGACTGGATGGGTTTGTGATTAGTACCCCATTTTCTAGAAGGTGGACAGGACAGGATTAAATGGAGCTGGGCCTGAACCGTGTCTCTCTCTGGCTTTGGTCTCCCCTGAAGCCTGATGGAAAGGTGGAGCTGTGTTTTGCTGCTCTGTATCGATCGGTCTTTCTGAATCTCACTGATTGGGAGCAGTCTTTAGGCACAGCACCACCGGCTTACCGAGGAGGTAGGGAGGTTAGTACTGTGAAAAGACCTAGCAGGGAACAGGGGTGACTTGAAAACAAATATACATCATAGAACCCCAGATGTGTTAGCCATTCACAGCTCTTCAGAAATCTATATGCAGCCGATGGAGGTGTTTCAGAGGTAATTAGTGACTCAGCCACAAACAGTTATTCTGGGAAGTTAAGTTCAAATCATTGGCAAGATGGGTAAAATGAGGTTGACATTTTCTCTCTCTGTGACTGGTGGCCCAGAGTCATTCAGTGATGAGAGCTCTGGGTTTGTCACAAATGCCCCAAGCCCGTGGGTTGCTGCAGCAGTCCCCTGGGTAATGTTTTGTGCTTTATCGGCCATATTTCAAAATGTTTTGCAGACCCTGCCTTCTGGTGAAGTTCTGCCAAACAAACCCACACTTTTCTCTGATAGTCACTTCTAATCCTAGCTCAATGAAAAGAATAGAGTGAAGCCACAACATTTTCTGGCCATGGTTAATCCCATTCATCAGAGGTAGACGAGACCTGAAAAAATGACATAAATTTGGACCCTCCCTGGTGATGCAGCGGGTTAAAGCTCAGCACCGCAAAGCTGGCCACAGCCACTTTAGCTCAAGTTCGATCCCTGGACAGGGAGGGACCCACATAGCTTAGCAAACCTCTCGTGACCTGTCCGCTGCTCCCCTCAGCAGTGTACTTCATCAGTCGGCCTGTCCTGCTCCTCACTCTGTCTCTGGTGAATCCTCTCACCGCCCCTGCACCTCTGACCTGTACCCCAGTTCTTTATGCATAAACAAATAGATCATTAAAAAATGATATAAATTCAGTGAAGATGGTATATAAGTCGTGTGCCTTATTAAGTCGTTCTTCCTCCTTTTATTAAGTAACAAAATGGCTAAGAGTTGGTGAGTGTTCATCATTTGCTAATCGCTGTTCTAAATGATTCTGAGTTACCGCATTTCATAACCATCATATGCCTATGAAGAAAAAACAGTTTTATTGTAACACTTAGGGAAACAGGCACAGAAAGGTGACCACTTGATCTGTGTTCACACAGCTGGTAAGGCTGGAGCTGGGATTTGAGCAGTGCATGTCACACCGGGGTCTGTGTTCATTGCTTTCCTTTGTGGAAGAAAAGGTGACTCGAAAGAAAGTTATCCAGTTATCATTTTCTAGTGGCGTGCCATATAATTAAATATGGGTACCTTGAGAAAAATGTTAGCTTCATAACACAATAAAAATAATAATTAATGCAGTCCACCCTGTAGAATTACAGTATGATAAAAATCAAGTATGCGGGTAACGTACATGGTACACGTCCGCCAGTGGCACCAGAAGCTTCTTTCCCTGGGAAATAACCTCCACTAGCGAGGGTGCAGATGACTTTAATTCCATGTGTAGGTCTCTACACCTCGCAAGGCAGCTTTCTCCCCTTTAAACCCGAGTCCTCTTAATTGCTTAATAGCTCTAGGCAGAGTTGTTGATAATTTTATAATTTCCTTTTCAGCAAGGTTAGCTTCTGTTTACCACTGTCATTACCAAACCATATTATTTCCCTTATATGATTTTCTCAACATGGTGTTTTCCTTTCAAGTCGCAGCCAGGTACTTCTGTGTGTGAACCTGACTTCAGCTCACTCATCTCCACTTTGTTTTTAACAGAGGGTCGTGAAGGGCTGTTTTTTTCCTGCTAGGTTTTGTTGAACGTTCCAGAGTGGTAGGAGCTGCGGGTGCCGGGGTTCTCCTCCAGCTCCACCCAAGCGTCCCTGTCCTCCAGCAGGACAGGCGTGGTGCTGGTCAGTGCTCTGGGCAGTGACTGAAATAGGCTGTGCTGGCTTTTACTATAGACCCTGCCCCTGAGTGTGATTTGGGGGAGTGGCGGGGGGCTGAACTCCCTTTTCTTTTCATTGAAGCCCAAGACTTAAACTAGACCATCTCTAAGGCTTTTTCCACAGTGGACTTCATGTCTGGAGGCCTGCCAAAACATTTCATTCATTCATTCATGCATGCATGCATGCATGCATTTCACTTGTTCATTTGTTGCTGAGTCCCCACTAAGTTCTAGGGGTGGGGAGACAGTAAGGAAGGAGGTCCCTGCCCTCAGGGAGCTTCCCATCTGTCTGCTCAGCAGCCAGACGTTAAGTAAACATATCATTGGGGCTGACATCAAAGTGTGGGGTGCTGTGAAAAGGCTTCATTGAAATAAGCCAGAAAGAGAAAGAAAAATACTGCATGGCTTCGCTCATAGCAGGAGTGGAAGAAACCGGGGAGAGGAGGGGGTGGGAGGGGGAAAGCAATTGTAATAAGGAAAAAAACGAAAAACAACAAACAACTATACACCAGAGACATTTTATGGGGGTGGAGTGGGGAATGGGGTGGGAAAGGTGCAGGGACTGTGGTGAATTGGTAGTGGAAGCCCACGGAGATTACAACTGAGATGGAAAAAGGCACAAAATGAATAATGATGTAAAAATAAATTAAAAAAAAAAGATATCATCGAGGATAAGAAATGGTTTTTAAATGAGAGGGGTGAATAGGAATCGGGCGAAACGGCGTGAAAAGCGTGACCGCAGCAGGAACCCCGGGCCAGGCTGCGGAGAGCTGCTGTCTCTGTGGACTGCAAGCTGGGGGGTGGGCAGGGCCTTGCAGACCAAAGGAGATTTTTGCATCTTATTTGAGGAGCCCTGCGACACTGCGGGGAACTGTAAGTAGGGCGTGATGTCCACCTGTGCCCTGAGAGGTCACTGGCTGCTAGAGGGACAGTTCCAGATTCCAGATCCATGTTTACACCTTCTGCTCTGTCCCATTCAGGCCAGCCCTGGCCCACAGTTTATTACCCAGGGAACCTGATTCCTTTTCATTACTTTATTATCTTTCTGATAAGGCATTCCCCTGGCTTATCTGCTAATTTCTTGTGCAAATAGGGGAACTGTCTCATAAATAAGTCCCTGTAGCGATAAGCTTTGGGATGTGTTTTTCTGTTCACCGTGTGTAAGCTCTTACCTGCTCTTTTTCAGGGATTGAACCCAGGCTGCAGTGCTGAGACTTAACCCCTTGCGCCACCAGGGAGGCCCCATTACCCTCTCTTACAATGAGTTCATTCTGGATTTTGTGAATTTGCCTCCTCTTGCTTCTTAATCCTCACTCAGATCTCAGACAAGATTGGTAGATATGACAGAAGCAGGGTGACTTAGAAGGCCTGTGCTGGGCGAGCACACTGCAGGCTTAGTAACCCTTTAGCCCTGTGTCCAGGAAGCCTGGAGGGAGTGGGGGACGTGCTGAACACAGAGAGCGCTTAGGTGATGTCGGATGTGTGGGCTGAAGGGAGGAGAGTATCAAAAATGGCACAGAGCTGGAGCTAGAGGATTGAGCAGTGGATTGGGTCACGCTAGCAGACCACAGTGGAAGGGAGATTCCAGTTGTGGGGGTGCTGTGGATCCCAAGCCAAGAAGCAGCATCTGCATAGGAAATGAGCTGTGGAATTGTTTCAGGAAGTAATTGTGGCGTCTTACAATGTCCAGTGTCTGGGTGCTGGGTAAAGCAGAGCTCCTGTCTCCAGGGAGCTTACAGTTTGGCCCATCTGGAGGGATGGTAGGTTCTGAGTGTGAAGGGAGCTCTGTGGCAGGGAGAGGGTGTGGTGGGACGGGGCAGGGCCCCCAGAGGGGATGACCGGAGCGGCAGCTGAGGGGCTGTGCAGGGCAGGCTGTGCATGCAGCGCTGAGGCTTGGCTCTGTCAGGAAGGCGCTTGGGGCTGCTCACTCAGTCCGGAGGTGGGCGAATGAAGCCTGGGCTGAGGCCTCGCCCTCCTGCTCCCATGGGAGACGCGGCCTGCATAGTCTCTGGCCAGCTGGGGGCTGTCTTAGGATAGAATCCTATCGGGGTGATACTTGAGAGGCAGGTTAGTAACAGGTTCAGACTGCCCCTTTTAGGGCCCACGTAGCCCAGCGCAGGGGGGAGCAGCTGGACAAGGGTGACCGGCAGGGTTTGCAAAGCCACCCCCAAAGGGCGCTTTGGAGCCCATGATTTCCTGCAGGGACGTGCCCAGAGTTGCCCTAATGGGTGGTGGAGGTTTTCATGAGCGCTGTGGATGACTTCCTCTCGCGGGGGGTGGGGGGATGGGGGGGAATGAAATTCTGGGGCAATGGGGGTGGGGGGCGATTTCCACAGGAGCCCCCTCACAGCAGCCCCCGGGGGACGTCTCATCAAATGGCTCATTTAACGGGGAGAAACAAGCTCAGAGGGCCGAGGCCCCTTGTCACAGCTCTGCAGGGTGGCGTCCCCTCCCGAATAGGGTCAGTCCAGGTCAGGGGCCCGGCCCCTATCTCCAGAGCTGATGGATATGGGGAGCTGGCTGGAAGTGACGATGGGAAGGGGAATCATCACAGCTTGGAAGGCAGAAAAGATTGGAAACTTGGGGTCAGTTTTGAATCTGCCAGAGGTGCCGGGTGACGCGAGGAGGCCCCACACTGAGGGGCGAGCGCGAAGTCTCTGGGACAGTGGAGAGGGTCTGGAGTAGGTGGGCGGTGTCTGTTTGCTTTCGCATTGAATCTGTGCTGGAAGCCACGAAACAGGCTCCCTCGTTCCATTTTACCGATGAGAAAATGGGCTCTGGGACCTGCCTTTCCGGGTTGACTGCTAGTTAGCAAGCTGTGGGCGGAGAGGAGAGCCCAGGGCTGAGGGATGTGGGGAGCCCAGAGCTGATGGATGTGGGGAGCCCAGAGCTGAGGGCTGTGGGGAGCCCAGAGCTGATGGATATGGGGAGCCCAGGCTGATGGCTGTGGGGAGCCGAGGAATGAGGGCTATGGGGAGCCCAGGGCTGAGGGATGTGGGGCGCACCACCTGCTCCTCTCTGAGCTTTGCTCTTCGCTGAGATCCCAGGAGGCAGGTCCTCCGTGTCGGAGTCAGGCCCCAGGGGACCCTGGAGATGACTCCCCTTTATCTAGCGCAACCAGGGCCGCTGCTGGCAGCTTTCATGGTTGCTAAGTTATTTGTTGTTCACATTTTACAAATGTGGGTCCAGAGCGGCTTTATCGTTTGGCCGAGACCACAGTAAACCCTGGGGTTTTGAGGACGGCAGCTGGAGCACAGAGGGGAGACTGAGGCCTGCGACAGCAAGTGGCTAATCCCAGGCTGTTGTGGACAGTGGATGGCTGCCTGTACCGCCCTGTCTCCCTGTGTTCACCTCGAGCTCTTGCTGGCAGAGGAGAATGAAACGCTGCGTGGTGACCTCCAGGGTGGGGGGAGGAGGCTACCCAGGGCAGGGCCTTGAAAGTGAAAGTGCTTCACCTGGCCCCACCTGGGCGAGTGGATGGCCAGGGCACACCTGCCTCCGTTGGCCTGGAGGCCGGGCTGTGCTGGTGTGTGATGCGTCAGGGCTCTGAGCACATGGCATTGACCGCCTTGGGTGTGGGTGGGGTTTTCCAAAAGGCTCCCATTACTTTCTGCATTTCCAGGTACTGCGCTTACAGTCATAAGAATTGGGAGAACAGGTGTCAGCTAGGCACAAGCCAAGGCCTGGTCTGATTTTCCCCAGGTTTGCAGGGCCTTGCTGGGGTGCAGGGGACTTGCCGCCCTTGCAGGGGTCGGGGGCCCCTGGTTTACCTCACGCTTACCTCAGCACATCTGTTTGCTGTCTGAGCTCCGGGGTTTGGGCAGAGGCCGGCTCTGGCTGGGCAGGGGTGTGGGAACTTGTGGATCTCAGCTTTCTAAAAGTAAAGGTGTAGCTCAGGATGGAGGGCTGTCCTTGGAAATGTTTCCAGTTTTTTATTGCAAAGCATTATCTAATGAAAATGTACCCCTACAGCTAATAAATCACCTGCTGTCGTGTTCTCATGTGTCTTCTCAGCCCTGTTCTTACGCAAGCGATTTATGTGATTGTCGCTGTGACAGACTCAGTTTATATCCAGAATCCTGTAACTACCTTTTCAAATTTACCACTCTGCAATGTTTCATTCTACATACTTAGCACCATAAACAACTCTTATGATATTTCTTTGAGTGGATGAGATGATTTTTCCTTACCTGTCCCTCTGTTGTATTTTTTTAATATATATTTCAATTGTTTCTAGTTTTTCACTATTATCAACAATGTAGTGATAATGGTTTTTTGTGTGTTTGTTTTAAAAGAAATTAGTTCCCTAGGGAAGATTGTTCAGGAGTTTGGTTCCTGATTTATAGAGACTGAGAACTTTTGAACTGGCTTCTGGAAACTATGAGCGAAATTCTTAAAAGTTCCTTCCCTGGGTATTGTTTTGGAGGAGGCTGGCTGGCACTGGGGGGCTGGGTGCTGAGTCCCAGCCTAGACCCTGCAGGGGAGACCCAGGAGGAAACGCCAGGCTGGGTTGGGTTTTCCTAGCTGTGCTGGGTGTTGGTTCCCCCCCACCTGCTGGCCCAGCCCCCCGCACCCCTCCCTTGCCTGGACCCCTGGGGAAGCTTCCGAGTGGTGCATTCAGTTACCAGATGCTTCCAGGCTCTCTTCCCAGACAGGAGCTGGCTCTTTCAACTTCCAGCCCCTTTTAGGTAAGCTTTGAAAGTTGGCATTTTTCTCTTCCCTTATTGCAGAACTTGTTCGTGTTGAAGAGTGGCCCCTGAAGTCCGAGGCTTTAGGAGTCTGGAGATATAGGGGCCGCCACCTCTAAGGAGACTCGATACCTGCCCCTTCATCTCGAGCAAGCTCCACATTGCTATGGATACCGAATCCACATATTCTGGATATTCTTACTACTCAAGCCATTCGAAAAAATCTCACAGACAAGGGTAAGTGAACCTTGAACCGCTTTTCCTTTCAGGAACCCTGCAGGTGGGTGGGGCTTTCAGGCCCCCCCACCGCCCCCCCAGTTGTGGGGCCCTTGAGTTTGCTGGTGCGTGAGAAGTAGAGCCGAGAGCGTTTAACTTGCGTGGGGGTAACTACGCCGCCAGTTTATGTTTTATAGCTGCTATTACAGTTGATGACCTTAATTTCTCACAATTGATTTTAAATTAAAGTTTCCCCCTGCAGTGGCAATGTCTTTCATTTCCAAGCACTTCTCCTAGATGACAATTCTCCCAAAGCTTTCCTAAGAATGTAAATGAAAGTTTTGCAGGAAGTGTTAATTTGTTACTTTTCCTCCCCAAGCTGCTGACTCATGGTCCATTATGCGGTTGCTGTGAGGCTCATACACTGAAGGGCGGGATGGGTCTGGCACCTTCTTCCTTTCTGACTGGCTTCCCAGGGCTCAGGCCTGGGTTTTGAAAATGCGGTCCTGGGAGGTGGGGACCAAATTCCTCCGCCTCTGTGCAAAAGGAGCAGGTCTGCCTGACTTCTCAGAGCCTGTCGCACCACAGGCCCGCAGAACGTTCCACGAGCAGAGAAGGTGGGGAACAAGGTCAGCCCCGCCACGGTCCGTACGGCTGCTGTCTGTATTCTCTCTCTGTATTTGCCGTGTTGTAATACTGCGAAGTTGCTGCTTCCTGGAGACCCCTCCTCTGTGAAAGGATTCAGCAGAAGTCACTTTAAGGGTCGCTGGAGGGATCAATGAGATGCTGCTCTTCAAGCACTTGACACAGCCTGTGCGGGGTGTCCTAACCAGTGGCATTTCAGCACCATGTTCAAAGGCCCAGTGGCCTGGTCCCAAAGGCCCTTCCAACGCCCCCCCACCCCCCACCCCCCCCCCGCCCCGGGTTGGGACAGGCTTGGTGGTGCTGTTACCGAGCCCTGTGGTGTCACAGAGTAGCTCGGTGCAAAGTGGGAACAGCCCTAGGTTGTGCAGCCTCGCTGCTTGGGGGTTGTGACCCCACGGAGGCTCACAGGCAGAGGAGGCCTGGACAGGTATCCCCTGAGCCAGGAGGAGCGGTCATGTATGGGGCCGGCGCTCGGCCCATACAGAGATGCACGGAAACGGTATCTTCATCTTTCTGTCCTCATTTTACAAGTGAGTATTGTGCAATTAAAAATATGCATGGAGTAAAGGTGTCAAGGTAAGGTTTTCAAAGATCGGCTGGTGACGGCTAGTGATGAGAGAAAATATTATCCAAACCCAGATACCAAACCTAAACCCTGGCTTAGTTATAAATCCTCTGATAAGGCGAATAGTCATTTGACGCTGCCTGTCCTACAGGATGACTGGGGGGGTGAGTGTTTTTTAACTTATATTTTATAAATTTTCATCTATTTCTCTTACAGTGATAAGCTCTGGGAAGAGGTGTAAGTTAGTTTGTGCCAGAGAGAGCTTTTCTGGTCTGCAAAGGAAACAGGAAGGAATAGCTGGGAGTAGGGTGGGGTGGGGTGGGGTGGGGGTGGGGTTGCTGCAGGGCCCAGAGCCTGGGAAAGCCAGAACCCGGCTGGTGATGAAACATCTTCATGAACCACAGCCAGCGGGTAAACAGATCAGATTAGTTATCAATACCAGAAATAGCTGCTTTAAAATATCAAGTCTTTGGACCTAGCTGAAAAAAGTAATTCCCCTGTCTGCATGCCAGACCTCCCTTTCCCATGAAAGGGAAGGAGAATTAGGGGTGTCATGTGCTTGCCAGTGGCAGTGTTCTGGTTGAGACATCTCTGGCCTCTGCCTTTACCTGGCCCCGACGGCCAGGCTTCAGGCCCGTGGCTCTGGCAGCTGTTCCTGTGGGCTGCCCAGGCCCCAGAGCTTAAGCACTATCACCTGCTGTTAAAAAAGCGGGCAGACCTCTTAGTGCCCTCAGGACCCCCGTGGGCCCTGTGGGAGTATGTGACTAACACGATGTGCACTGGTTTTCAGTAAATTATTGGACTGTCCCCGTGGGCCTGCTCAGAAAGCGCTGAGTGAGACGTGGTCTTTCTGGAAGCTCTTTAGAAAAACTGACAAGTTTGTGGGGAGGCCGAGGGCCCTGGGTGGGGCTGGCACTGGGAGCCAGCTGAGGGGTCCAGGTGGAGCTCCCGGGGTGATCAGCGGCAGTAATTCCCCCCTCAGGCATGTGCACAGCCTCGACCAGCCGGGAGCTGTCTCGCCCAGGAGTGTCCCTGCAAAGGCCACTTGCTCATTGATTTGTTATGGACTTGGGTGGAAAAGCAGGAAAGGGCAGGGACCTGATTCTGTGATCATTTTAGTAGAGGTCAAGCTGAGAAAGGAGTCATCAGGCACCCCAAACTTGCCGTGCCAAGGGCTGCGTGGCGTCTCTGGAGGACTGGGTGGGATCCAAGCAGGTGACAAGCGACTCTGCTAGCTAAGAGGTTCGTGGTCTGGTTTTGTGATGTCGGCCGTGCCCAGGGGGTGTCCAGTTACCTGGCTGGGAAGGTGGTGTGGACCCTGCCAGTCTCGCCTAACCTTGGGTGCAGGCCATCCCCTGCGTTAATGCCACCTCTGCCAGCGAGGGGCGTGAGTACGTGGGTTGTCTGCAGGCCCTCGCCTTCGCCTGGTCCTCACCGCATTCCCAGGACTCTGGTGGACGGTGCCCCCCGTCCTACAGTCCTACAGGTGACACAACCTCGGTGCAGACTGAACCAAGGCTAGCAGGTGCCCTGGCAGGGTTCAGCCCCACTTGGTCCTGGGAAGCCCAGGCGTCTCCCCATGTGGCCGCTGTCATGCCTTGTCCCGGAGAGGGCTGCCTGGGGGAGGGGGGGGGGGTTGGGCTTTTGTCCCCAGGCTGCTCGGTCCGTTTGCACGACACCAGCGTCCCACCCCAGTCACTGGCTGCGAGGAAGCAGCCAAGCCCCAGCAGCCGATGGAGAGAAAGGACAGGTAGTGGGTGGTGGTGGAGAAGGAAAGGGAGGGGTAACCGGTGGGGCCGGCTTCCCCGAATAGAACAGACAAACAACAGAGACAGCGCTGAATAATCTTCCCAGGAAATGCCGATTGTAAGTGGGCGCGTTATGGGATTGGACAGGGATTCCGGCTGGAAGGGAGAGGGGCTTGCGGCCGCCCCCCGGGCTCAGCCCCAGATCCTCGCAGTCGATGTCTGCACACACTCGCAGGTACAGACACATGCTCGGGCCTCCTGCGTGCTTCTGCTTGCTCGGCCCGCCCTCGCGAGCGCACACACGCACACGTCCACCGTCTCCCTGCACAGCCGATGTGTGGAAGCGGGCACACCTGCCAGCAGAGCACACGGGTGCCCCGACCCCTTCTGCAGGGTCGGCACACACGGAGCGCGTCCCTGCAGCACTGGGGCCGACTCCCCAGTCGCCTGCGTTCGTATGTTCAGACGTGAACTGCTTCTTCATCCCTGGGGACCCTCTCTCAGGGCCCACCTGGCAGCCACACGCTCTCCCTGGAGTTTGAGCCTCTGAAGCCTCGGGGGTGGTGTCGGGTCTCGGGGGCCCCCGGCTCTCTGCTCTGCAAACTGAAAGCATGACCGGCCGTGTTTTTATTGGGCTTCACCATTGAATTCTGGCTCAGAGACGGCTTCAAGCTGTAATTCAGGAGCGGTGATTGTCAGAAAAGCCGTATGACAGGTCTTGCTCCTGACAGCAGGCCCAGCACAAGGTGCAGGACGCGCTGCTCGTAAAGAAGCCGCCATCCTTTGCAGCGTGGGCAGCTGCGTGTCTCGCTCACGCCGTGGCTGCAGGGCTGTTCCGGGCATCTCACAAACCGGCAGGAGTTGGGCAGCCACTCCAGCCCCAAGCATCACCCCCCCGGCCCCCCCAGAGGTCATCAGGCAACCCTGGGGTATGTTTCTGGTTTCTGGACCACCTGCATCCCAGGCACCTGGGAGCTGGTGGAAAATGTGGATCCTGGGGCCCCCCGCCAGACAGCCTCTCCGGAGGGGAGGCCTGAGACTCTGCCCTCACATCCACGCCGGCTTTCTGTTCCTCAGGTTTGAGAAGCCCTGGCTTGGGGTTCCTGACTGGGGGGGCAGGAAGCTCCCTGGGATGATCTTCGTGGGCTTCTTCGTGGCTTTGTCAAGGGCATCACGAGGGAGTCACCAGGAAGACGCGCTTTGGGGTTCTGGGTGCTTTTAGAGCCAGGACCCCCGACTGGCCCTCAGGAGACAGTTTCCTGTTCTGGGTGGTTCCCCGACCCGCTCTCTGCCCCGGGGTGTGCAGGCGGGGGTGGGCACTCGGTCAGACTTGATGTCCAGTGGAATTTGTGCTGTCACAGGATGCAGCCTGTGGGGCTGTGAGGAGAGATGGGCTGGGAGCACGTGACAGGGCAGAGGGCAGAGGCAGTGACAGATGTGAGCGCAGTCGGGGAAGTGGGGGTTCCTCCCCCTGGCCGGAGGGGCTCTGGGCAGCGGAGACGCCAGCCAAGACAGAAGCAGCCCCACGGCAGCCTGGCCGGACGCGTGGGCTCCCTGCATTGATCACAGCTCGCGCCATGTCCTTTTTCAGGGACTGTCCTTGGCAGCCAGAGCACCAGCTGCCCAAGACCACGTTCAGTGGCGACTCCTGGCATTTAAAGGCCTGGTTGCTGGCTCTCGTGGCTCTCGTGGAGGGGTGAGGAGGAGCAGGGGGCTAATTTATGCTCCGCAGCCACCAGGGGCACCAGTGTTGTCTGGCAGGTGTGACTGGAGGCCTTGGGCACAGCCGTGGGCTCCGGCCCTGCCCTGCCGCTCCCTGAGTCTCAGTGTCCCCTGTAGCCTGGGACAGTGACGGCCACCTCACAGGGCTGTGGGTGCCATTCATGCAGCAAGCACGTCATTCGGGCTTGATGCACTGTGTGACCGGGACTGACAGATACGGCTCTGGGCAGAGGACTCTCTTGGCTGTTTCCCTCATCGTCTGCTTAAACACGGCTCCTTAGTTGACCAGAACTCACCCGTTGTTCAGCTGTGAGTCAGGACTCGATTGTCAGGCTAAATTGCAGGCCAGTATTGGGGGGCCTTCCCTGAAAGAGTCTCTGGGGCTCCAGAAGCCTCCCTACTTTTTGAGGAACCAGCCAGAGCTTCTCCTGGGAAGGTGTTGAGAAGCTTGAATGAAGTTTGACCGCAGGAAATGTGGGAGTGGTTTTGTGAGCTAAGTGGTAGGTCAACAGGCTGCCTGGGGGGAGGGGCGCAGTGCTAGTCCCATCTCCGGGCTCCAGCCACATGCTCTGCTCCCCCCAGCCCACCCACGGCTGCCCTGGCCGATCGGATGGCGGCACCACGGCTCAGCCCTGATGCACCCCCAGGCCTCACTCAGCATCTGTGCAGTGCCTTTTTCTAAGGAGGAAACTGAGCTTTCCAGAGGTCTTGGCTGACTTGTGGAGGGAGAAGCACGTTTAGAGGGAACAGAACCGAGATCCTCTGTCTGCCACCAGTCTGTGTGCCCGGAGTCGATGGAGCTGGGATAAGGGCAGGCAAGTGGCTGGAGGAGCCGGGCTGATGTCCAGGCAGCCGGTGGGCCAGCAGGCTCAGGACACTTGTCCCGACCACTCAGGGGGCCCCTTGGTGGCTCCCCCCTCCCCCCCACTGTCCACAGCTGGGATGGGCGTGTTCTGCTGCCCTAAGCACTTCCCCTCCAGGCGGTGACCGCTGAGCTTTGCACAGGACAGATTCCTTTGGTGAAGTCAGGACTGACCCGCAGCGCAGCGGGGAGTTCTCACATTCACTCTGGAAGACCACCCAGGGGGTCCGCGGCAAAACTGGCCGCTTTCCTTCGGAGGCCTGAAAGCACCACACCTCACACAACACTCCAGGCGCTCTGTGGAGGGGTTTGTTCGTTTCTGTGGGAGTCTTTGAATTCAGCTAGAGCCTATGGGAGAGATTTTTGTTCTGAATTTGTAGGGGTGAGAAATGAAGGACTCTGTTCTGGTTTTGAATTTCCTTTCTTCTCTTCTTATCCAAAGGTGTAGGGTGACAGTGTGTCCCAGATTTTTTTTTTTTTTTTGATAGACCAAAGCTTAAAATATGTTGCTCTGTTGTCCCAACTGAACAAGTCCTAGAAAATACATTTTGGCAAATTACTACCACAGCAAGTCAGGCATCCGACCATAAAATGATCTGCTTTCCTGCAGCTATCCTGAAGTTCAAAGTTTTAGGCCTTGAAAAAAAAGAGTAGGATCACTGTTAAGAGAGGCCTGGCTCTTTCTGTCTTCCAGTTGCAGAAAGGGAAGTAAGGGGTGATTACCAAGGAGGGAATAAGGATCAGCCTGCCCCTTGTAGCGGGCTGGTGACAGGTTGGCATTGAGTGTGTGTGTGTGTGTGTGTGTGTGTGTTTATCCTATAATCAAAGTGAAACCTCTGACATTTTGAGAGCATTTGTCCCTTTTTCATGGCATGGACATACTAGCTGATTATGTTGTTTTTTTTTTTCCCCCCAGGGAAAGAAATAGAGAGAGACACAAAGCACCACGAAATAAAGATAGCAGAGGGTCAGAAAAGTCTGTCACCATCCAGGCTCCCACTGGAGAGTCTCTGCTGGCACATGACTCCGCCCGGACAGAGGAGGTTCAGGTAAGGCTCACAGTGGGCTGTCAGCTCACCGCCCCCGCATCAGGGTTTTCTTGGCACATGTTTTTCTAAGTCTTATTGCAGTAAGTTCTCCTGGGGTTTAATATTTGTTTTTCCAGCATGCTCATTAGTTTATCTATGTCCTGTGGTTCCTGATGGGTTGGGGGACAGCCTGGCCTGCTGTTGGCTGAATGGCAGCTGCTTCTGAGTGTGAACGGGTGGCCTGCTTTGAAGGGCATTGCAGACCGCCAGGTTGACGACAGCGCAGAGAAGGGAGAAGTTAGAGGCAGCAGTCTCTGGAGGGTCATTCCGAAGTGGAGGAGACTCCCTCTGCAGAAACCCTGAGCAGGTTGGGAAGAAGAGCCAGGTGCTTAGGACAGACACCTGAGCAGATCCCCACAGACAAGCCCGAGGAGCTCGGGACTGAGCAGCCATTGGAGTGGCGCCGCGTGTGTGGGGACACCCCATGGAGGGGCGCTGGAGTCTGCTTATCCGGGGACGCGTTTCCTCTGGTTGCTGTTCAGGAAGGGAGCAACCGGGTTTTTCTGGGTCCTGCAATGTTTAAAGAAGCTGGAAATTAGGATTTTATGTGAATCACCGCATTTTTAGAGATTGGTGATTTGTTAACTAAAAAAAAGGTTTAGGTTTTCTATGTGTCCCAAATGTCGGGGGCCCATCTGATTTACATAAATGCCCAAGTGATACGCAAACCATGTTTGCACACTCCCCACAGCGCTGGACACACATGCGTGCCCAGCCTGGTGTCCAAATAAACAGACTCATCACACACAGCAGAGACCTAGGGCAGGTGAGCACTGGTCTGTGTGCACCTGTGAGCACTCAGGGGCTCTGTTGATAAACTGACACGCTCTGACATAGGAGTTTCTCAGAGACCTCAGAGCCTGGAGCCCAGAGCTGCAGCTCTGGATCGACGTGGGGTTTGTTCAGTGGCCAGTGAATAATGCTGGTGTTTGCTGCACCCCTGTTTAGCTCCGGGAGGACCAGTGTGGGGAGGGACCGGTCCTGAAGTTGGACCACCTTGAAGAGCTGCCCGGCAGTTTCCTTGTAGCTGTGCATTCACTGGTCCTTCTGGGCCCACTGCATCACAGCTTCTGTCCATCTTGTGGCTCCCTGGGAAGGGAGGGAAGGTGTGAGGTGTGGGTGTCTACGCAAGGATGACGGAGTGGGAGAAGCATGGCAGTAGAGTCCACCTCGGTCCTGTGGGGCTGTGGGAAGTCACCGCCTTTGGGGGCCGTGGTTGGTTTCTCCACTGACAGGCTAGGGGGCTGGGCTCAAGGCCCTCAAATCCTCTCTCTTCTAAGAACTTCAAGCTTGAGATGACCTTTGGACAGCTGCACTTGTTACCCAGAGATTGGCACGCACTCTTAATATGGACAGAGGATTTAGTTAACAGCTCTTTGGTAGGAAAAGGGACAAGCAGCTAAATAAATGATTGTGGGTGGTCAGCAAAAGGCTGACGAGTCACTTGGAATAATTATTTCAGTGTTGATCATCAAGTGAGTATCAAGCCCGATAGTGAACATGGAATCCGGTATGTGCCATCACTGAGAGGTTTACAAGGAGATTATTTTTGTCACCTGTAAACTCACTGTACATTAAAGCACGTTGTGTATCTTTGAATCTGTGTCTACTTTTTCCTATAACGCTTTTTTACTCTTTTTTAAAAATTGAAGTAAATTTTTGCACAGAAAGGTGAAAAGATTTTGAATGTAAAGTTTGATGACTTTTCGCAACTGAACATACCTATATAATCCACATTCCTGTCAAGGTATAGATTTCTGTCGATTTCTGTCTCTCTAGAAGGTTCTCATTTCTTCCCAGCCAATTGCTGTCTCTGGCCCCCACCTCGCAAGGCAAGCACTGTTTTGATTTCTATTACTTAGTTTAATTTTGCTTCTTTTATAGTGTGATATAATTGGAGTCGTGTGTGTGTATGTGTATATACACACACATACATGCACACACACACACACACACACACACACA